AGACCCTGTCTCAAAAAAAAAAAAAAAAAAAGGCCCAGGCACAGTGGCTCACATCTGTAATTCCAGCACTTTGGGAGGCCCAGGTAGGTGGATCACCTGAGGTCAGGAGTTCAAGACCAACCTGACAGGGTGAAACCCCATCTCTACTAAAAAATACAAAAAAATTCGCTGGGCATGGCAACGCGTGCCTGTAATCCCAACTACTCGGGAGGCTGAGACAGGAGAATCACTTGAACCTGGGAGGCAGAGGTTGTAGTGAGCTGAGATCACGCCATTGCACTCTAGCCTGGACGATGAGAGTGAAACTCTATCTCAAAAAATAAAAAATAAAAAAATAAAAAGTAAGAAACTTTGAGAGACGCTAAAGTAACTTTACAGGAAATTAAAGAGAAATGAGAAGGAGACAAAAGAGTAAAAGTGAGGGAATTGCTTGTAATAGAGAAGTTATTTGAAGTGCAGTTAATGGAACTGAGAAATGAGAAAGGTGTGTGGAATTACCCTAGGAGGAAGGCATGTTAGAAGTGCGCAGAAATCAAAATCCAAATGCCTTCAGACAGGTACATGAAAGAAGCAGGCTGGGCTAGGAACAATAGGAAATAGGGGAGACTGTGGCAAACTAGAGAGTTTCAAGAAATACACATTTTTATGTGTGTGAAACATCAGTGTAAGCCAAAGCCAAAACCTCTGTAAGCCGAGTTTTGCCTGCTGGCCACCATTCAGAACTTTCAGCAAAGAGATGAAAAGCAGACCTGGAGTCAGACTCCCTGGGTTCACATTCCTGCGTCACTACTCAAGATTCTGTGACCTTGATTTCCTCATCTGGGCCAATGCGGTGGCTCATGTCTGTAATCCCAGCACTCTGGGAGGCTGAGGCAGGCAATTACATGAGAGCAAGGGTTCGAGACCAGCCTGGACAACATGGCGAAACAACGTCTGTACTAAAAATACAAAAGTTAGCTGCGTGTTGCAGTGCATGCCTGTAGTCCCAGCCACTTGGGAGGCTGAGGCACGAGAATCACTTGAGACTGTGAGGCAGAGGTTACAGTGAGCCAAGATCATGCCACTGCACTCCAGCCTAGGTGACACAGCAAGAGACTCTGTCTCAAAAAAAAAAAAAATATCGTCATCTATATAATGATAGTTTCTACTTTGCATGATTGTGGTGAAGATTAAGCAAGATAATGTGGGCAAGGTACTTAGTGGAGGGTCCAGCAGGCCTCTCTATAAGCGCTTAATGAGCATGCACTAGAATGTAGTTTCATACCTGTAATCCCAGCACTTTGGGGAGGCCAAAGCAGGCAGATCTCTTGAGCTCAGGAGTTTGAGACCAGCCTGGGCAACATGGCAAGACACTGTCTCTATAGGGAAGGGGTGGGGAAGAGTGAATGGGCGTGGTGGTGTATGCCTGTAGTCCAAGCTACTCAGGAGGCTGAGGCAGGAGGATTGCTTGAGCCCAGGAGGTTGAGACTGCAGTGAGTCATGATCACACCACTGCCCTCCTGCCTGAGTGACAGAGTTAAGATGCTGCCTCAAAACTTTTCATTAAAAAGCCTAATTCTATCCTTTAATATCTTCCTGAAAAGCTTTGTGCATACGAGAAAAATTTTATTACTAGTTATTTGAACCTCCATGCTACTGGCTTTAACTTCAGTCTCCAGAATCAAAAGACAGCAGCTCCAAGTTGACCCCCACTATAGGCAGTATATTTAGCTAAGGCCCTTTATTTAGAAAGGTGAGATTTTCTGGCTCATCTAAAGACAGACTGCATTTTAAAAATTGTAATCACATAAACACTGAGAAATCTAACTACAAGAGAAATGTGGTGAGGATGACAAGAGGATACCCAATCAGCATTTCCACCTCAGGAGATGTAGAATGGTCACAGGCTGCATTTGTATGAGAGTCTGGGTGCTTTCTGGAAGAGATGGTTCACAAGATTTGGAGAGGTCTATTGGACCTGCCAAGGACTCTTTAATGGGAAAATGACAAAGGGTATCACCAACCATGGGGAGAGCTCATCCTGAGGCTATGTTCATCCTAGGTCACCAAGTGCTTGCTAATAAGAATAATTACTGATTTTTGTACCTTAATTTTGTATATTGAAGCTTTGCTGAAGTTGTTTATCAGATCTAGGAGCTATAGAAAGCAATTTGGAGATTTCTCAAAGAACTTAGAACCATTTGACACAGCAAACTCATTACTAGGTATATATCCAAAGGAATATAAATCATTCAACCATAGAGACACATGTATGCATACGTTCATCACAGAACTATTTACAATAGCAAAGACACACAGTCAACCTAAATGCCTATCAGTGGAAGGCTGGATAAAGAAAATGTGGTACATATACACCACAGAATGACACGTAGCCATGAAAAGAATGAGACGATGTCCTTTGCAAGCAACATGGATTAAGTTGGTGGCCATTATCTTAAGTGCATTAACATAGGAACAGAAAACCAAATACTGCATGTTCTCACCTATAAGCTGGAGCTGCACATTGAGTACACATGGATGCAAAGAAGGGAACAGTATACACTGGTCTACTTGAGGATGGAGGGTGGGAGGAGGGAGAAGATCAAAACGCTACCTATTGGGTATTATGCTTGTTACCTGGGTGATGAAATAATCTGTACACCAAACTCCCATGACATGCAATTTACCCATATAACAAACCTGCACATGGACTCCCTCAACCTAAAATAAAAGCTGGAAAGAAGAAAAGGAATGACTTTGAGGAGTGGTATTGTTTGGTCTCTCAAATGCCATCCATCTACAGAGGAGCTTTATGTCCTCTTTTTCCTTTTTATCACATTTCTTGAGAGAAAGGTGAATATGAAAGACCTAAGGGTCTTGGAGAAAAAAAAAAAAAAAAACTTGAAATCTCAGGTTTGCTGTAAGGTACTTGGAAGATAAGCCCATTCTGGTGGAAGCCTCATAAACAACCCTGAGAAGAGAGAACTCTGCTATCTGGGAGTGAACAGCCACAGGAGCTGCCAGAGTAGCCCAGACAGAGGCACCGGATGGTGCCTTTGCTCTTGTGAAACTAAAATAAATCTTGGGCCCCCCAAATTAGTAAGACCTATGACCTGGAAGCCACCTCCCTGCTTTGAGTTGTCCTGCCTTTGCTTCAAGTTGTCCCACCTTTCTGGAATGAACCAATGTTCATCTTACATATGTTGATTTACGTCTCATTTCTCCCTAAAATGTGCAAAACCAAACTGTGCTCTGACCACAATGGGCACATGTCATCAGGACCTCCTGAGGCTGTGTCATGGGCCTGTGTCTTCAATCTTGGCAAAATAAACTTTCTAAATTAACTGAGACCCATCTCAGATATTCAGGGTTTACAGTCTCAATAGCAACTAGGAGCACAATGTGGCCTAGTGTGAGAGAGCCCCCAGGGGGCCATGGGGGCTGTTAGGAAAGTGAGCATAGTGGCGGGTACTGGGAATGTCATCCCTGACTCTGCCTCCAGAGACAAACCTTCTATGTCATCCTTGCCCCTCTTTGCACCTGTTATTTGTACCTACTGCAATGTATTCCTCTAAGTTGGTTTCATCTCTAACTAGACAATGGCTCCAGGAGGAGTTGAATTGAGTCTTACTCATTTTGCATCCCTACCCGCTAGCAAAGAGCCTAGAATTTTATCAAGGAATGAGTAGTAGGGTTCAGAGGTAAAGGCTACTTAATGACTACTCCTACTGTCACACACACCCTGTGATTGTCATTATCTGGCTGGTATGGCTTAAGGTAAAATGAGATTAAATTAGAAACTGAGTTACATTATAGTGATTTGATAGAGAACCTGAGAACTGAAGCTGTAATCCCCTGATTTTCAACTAAGAAATCACAACTATTCTAGTATTTTCATTAATCCACAAAAGAATTGATGTGCTTTCTCAGGAGTATCCTGTCTTGTTTGATCCCCATGATCAAAGAGTTTTAAATGCAAGAATCATAGAGTGTTAGACCGGTTACAAAAATGGCTGCATTTCTCCACCCCTCCCTGTATCCACAGCCATTACAATGTAACTCTGTGGCTCCTCCCATCAGGAAGTGGAGTCTATTTCCCCACCTTCTGAATCTGGACTAGCCTTGTGAATTGCTTTGACATAGAATGTGATGCAAGTGGCAGCATGCCAGTTCTGAGCTGAGGCCTCTAGAGACCTTGCCCATTTCTCACTCAGAACCTTGACCCCATTATATATATAAACCCAGGCTGGCCTGCTGGATAGTGAAAGACACATGGTCTGGCCACCCATTGACTCAGCTGACAGCCAGCCAATGACCACACATGTGAGGTCATCCTAGACCAGCGAGCCCCCAAAATAGCTGATACTCATAGAATGTTGAAAACCTGTTTTTCTACTCTGATCAATAACTTTGATAGTTATGGTCTACCTTCAGTCAAACCAGTCCCTCAATTACTTTAATATTGGAGAATATCCAAAGGAGTAAATGAATCAAGTCTTCATCCCTTTCTTGACACAGATTTTGAAAATGGGTTCAAATGAAAGAATCTACTTGCAAAATTGATTCTTTCAAGGCTTCCTATCAACTGAAAACAGAAATATTGGTGTTATAGGCACATGCTAATAAAAGACTTCACCAAACTGCTTTATATAAAAAGAGTATACACACATATAAGTTGCAAGGCTAACAAAAGGAACTTAATGTAGGTGGTGAGTTATATTAGTCTGTTCTCATACTGCTATAAAGAACTACCTGAGACTGCGTAATTTATGAAGAAAAGAGGTTTAATTGACTCACAGTTCTACAGGCTTAACAGGAAGCATGGCTGGGAGGCCTCAGGAAACTTACAATCATGGTGGAAGGGGAAGAAAGCATGTTGTACCACGACAGAGCAAGAGAGTGAGCCAGCCAAAGGGGAAGGGTCACACACTTTTAAACCATCAAATCTCATGAGAACTCACTCACTATCACAATAACAGCAAGGGGGAAATCCATCTCCATGATTCAATCACCTCCCACCAGGTGCTTCCCCCAACACTGGGGATTACAATTCAACATGAGATTTGGGTGGGGACACAGAGCCAAACCATATCATGACTTAATACCAAAATGGCAGACCCAATGTTTGTTAGAATTAGGTTCAGCTGCGACAGAAAGCTTCCTCAGCCCCCATTCCCACTCCATCACCTGAACGACAGTAGCTTAAACACGGTTGTAGTTGATTTCTCGTACATCAACATTTAGGAAGGATGTTAAGACCCGTTGTCTCCTGGTGCCAGAAGCCCAGGGTACTTCTATCTGGTTGAATTGCCATAGGTGGTCTTGATCCCATGAGCCAACATAGCAGCATGTGCATCCCACACAGCAGGATGGAGGAAGGGAAGAGGAAGAAAAGGCAAAGGACCCCCACATCCAGTCCCCCATAACACAAACCACATATACACACCATCAAGCAATGCTATTGCTATCACCTCAGCCAATTAGCTAACACACCCAGCTGCAAGGCAGGCTCAGAAAGGGAATCTTTGAGGCCATTTGCTCAGCTTAAATTCAATTACTATGGCATTTGGAAGACAACTAGCAATCTCCGTTACAGAATGCTTAATATCATGTGGTAAGTTTCTACTATGTGACAGTAATAACATCTTTTAACTTTCCAGTGAGTTCAGTTCCCAATTATGTTTATATGTCGGTTGTTTGTAACCCGGAAAGCAATTTCTCACAAACATTTCTACTGGCTATCTTTCTAGATCAATAAATACAACCTATTCTAGCCCAAAATGTCCTTGAAACATAATTTTCATTTTTACTCAATGATCCTTTATTCCATCATTCCAAGGGAAAAAAATACATTCCAAATGACTACAGATTATGCATCTCAGGAGCAGGAAAGTTCCTCCTAAAACAGCACAGACTGAAGAGAAAGGGGGCCCTTTGGGACTACGTGGGTGCCCTACATTTGCATCCAAGAAAATAAATGCATCTTTTCTAAGGCATTAGTCATTCTAAGGTTCTGAATTGGGGAACACGGGGCCCACTGGGGGATGACAGATCAAGACCACATTCTGACACATTCTAACCTCATCTTGTCTTTGTTGAGGGACTGCACGTCTATAGACCACACAGCCCTAGATACACTTACAGGACACATGAAGGGCAAGGTCCAGCTGTCCTGGGGCCTGGAGCCGCCCACTGGCTTCACTCATCCCCAGTTCTAGATTTTACTAAATACAAAGGCTTCCCATGAAGGCCAGTCTTTAACCAAGTCCAGAATTGGCTTACCTGAGGAATTCTTGCCTGTATGGGTGATAAACACATCCACACCTCCAGAAACACAGATACCAAGAAACAGAAGAGCCAAGCAAGACAAAGACAGAGATAGGGTGAAATGTGAACAATTCAGAAGCACTTAGATTCTGTCATAGGCATCTAAATCATGGGGAACATGGACCATGAGGCACCTCCAACACAGAGATCTTTGAAATGATTTAATTTGGCAGTTTATGTTGTTTCCTGCTTCTGTCAAGCGGTTTACCATTGCTGACAGATGTCTTTTCTGATTATCGCTGGGAGTCTTGCAACTTTGAAAGCTATTGATTAATGTATCTGTCTTCCCAGTCTTGGAAACCTTTTTACTAGGCTGCTTGAGAGAGCTGGTTAAAAAATCATCTTCCTATATTCAAGTTCTCTAAAAATTTGTATTAGGCTATATAAGCCATATGAGGGAGAGAAATACAGGTTTCCAAGAACAGAACAGGTTTTAAATGGGCTTGAATTCTTTTTTGGTCTACCTTTCAGGAATTTGCTCTGCTAGCTGACTAAAGGGCATGCCTAATGATAACATAGCCTCCTTTTAACTCACTTTCAAATAGGGAAGGGCTATGTGGCAAATTTTGTGTGTGTTTAATTTTATAAGCAGACTAAGTTTCTTTCGGGAGGTTGGGTTTTGATTTTGACTACCTCAAGAAAGGTTCCCCAGAACTTTCCTTTAGGTATATACAAAATAGTTTTTTCTATTATATTTCACTAAACTGTTGGGCAGTGAGATAAACCCATCCATAAAGTCTCCTGCCACTTCCTATGGGGAGGCTGGAATACTGCGGACACTAACTGAAGGTTGGGAACAGTTTGCACAGATCCAGGGTGACTCCCTTCTATGGGGGGCTCACAGCAACTGGGATGCACAGTGTCTAGGCTGTTTCCAGCAGAGCTAGACCTGTCTTCTCTTTCAGAAATCAAATAAGAACTAAGACCCTGCTGAGCTATTCTTGAACTTCCCTCTTTTCCCCTGGGCATTTTGTACCATCCAGCAAATCTTGTCTTTAGATTCCGGTGCCTAACCATCCTTTCCTCCCAAGGATTTAGGGACATTCAAAGGTATGTTTTCCACTGAGTAACTAAGGATTAAGAATGTACATATCCTTGCATAGTACTTCTCACATCAATACGATTAGTTTGTCCTCTTGGTGCAAGAGCAGGGATGGTGATCAAAATATTTGACAACCTATAAAGCATGGCAATCCACAATAAAAATGGAGGCTGGCCATTATGCGAGCTCAGTGTATACCGCAGAATGTTGGCCCTGTCGTGAGTGGAAAGATTTCTCCTGGTAATCAATGTCCAGGTTAGAAGATTCCTGCCTTGTTCCCATCTTTCTTTAAAAGAGGACATAACTCTTAGTGGCCTGGAGCTCGTTCTTCTAGAGGATTCATCCTTCTCTTTTCTGGGATTTTGAGTGACAGTGTTTGCAAGATTTTGTGAGGCTAAGGATCTATCTGTAGTTTCTAAACATGCCCATCAATTGTAGATTATCCCTTGCTTCCAGTCAGTTACCAGGGCCTCCAAATTCTGCCTCCTACATAGTCCCAAATCATTTCTGTCTTCTGTCCCCTCTACCTCTTTGGTTAGGCACTCCTCCTGCCTTGCCTGGATTTCTCATAACTAGTGTCCTTGCTGCAGGCACCCCCTTCTAATCCATCCTGAACACACATGCAGAGAGGGTCTTCTCAGCACAGATCTGAGTGTGTCACTGCAATGCCTACAATATCTAAATGCTGCCCTGTAGGAAATAAAATCCAGCCTCTGTGATAATTCCAAGCACTTTGTGATATACCCCACAATCTCCCCACATGCCATAATCAAAGTCCTATGCTCTAGCCAAGCCCAGCGACCTAAAACCCCTTGGAGGCGCAGCTCTTCCTTACCTCAGTGACTTTGTGGGAGCTACTCCCTCAGTCTGGATTGGAAGTCTTTCCTGATCTGTTCAGGACTATTCTCTACAATCTCAGAAAGCCGTTTCTAAAAATCAAAAAGACTCTTCCTAAGGTCTTCTTTACAAATGGGACCATGTGTCTGTCACAATAACCCACCCCTACTAAGTGGGCTGTTTACTCCCAGACATTTACTCCTAGAATGAGTGGAGTAGCAGAAAGAATAGAAGTTTAGGGTCTTAAGAGGACACTTATTGCCTGGGATGATATTCACTTAGTATCTATTAGGTTGTAGCATGTGACATTGCCATTTTTGTAAGTCAAAATGGTAGAACACCAGCCACTTCACATAGTTCAACCTACTATAAACCACAATCTCCGTTCCAATGAAAGAAAATCCAGCTATTAGTCTCCACCTGCCAGGTCTGCTGTGCAGTGGTTTAGCATCGTGATTAAAAGCTTGGATGGCAAACTCAGAACTGGATTAGAGTTCCAGCTCTGACTACTTGCTGTGTGTCACCTTGGACAACTTATTTGCCATTTACGAGCCTCAGTTCTTACATCTGTAAAGTTGGGGATAATAACAATGCCTTCTTCATAGAGAGATTGTGAGAATTAAATGAGATCATTTGCATAAATGGCTGAGTTCACAGTAAACACTTTCTAAATGGCAGTTATTGTGAGCATCAAATACAATATGTGGCTTGCTCTACAAAAATTAATTTTAATTACCCGGTGTATAACTTAACAATACAACTAATTTGCAATCTGATTGCTTTGTTGATGAACACAATCTTTAGATCCTGAATACACTGTAGAATTCCTTTCTCCTTTTAAAAACCTTCATTCACAGTTAGTATTTATTGACCAGGACCCTGGATGGGGCCTGCCTATGCATTTCCTTTTCTTTTCTTCCTGCATAATTCATATGCCATTATTAGGACCTCAAGAGATTGAAACAGAATGACCGGGGACCCCAGCACCTGCCCAATCCTCTTTCTCAAACTTCCAGACTCCCACTATCTACTGAAAAAGGCAAATGAGTAGGCAAGAAGCAGCACCTGGACGGGTGAGTAATGAGGGTATTTTACCTGCAAGACTGCAGTAAAGCCATCCTGGGGGTGAGGTCTTCACAGGATGGTCATGTGTGTTCCTCTGTGGGCTATCTCCTGGCTTGGCCTGTGTTTTGAAGGTCACATGGAGCTCCAAGCCTGGTCACCTAGCTGCCTCACCGGCTGACTCTGTGCAGCACTGAGAAGGAGAAAGATAATGGACTAACCCAGGCAATGCAGGCCAGGTCTGGCATCTTCAAGCACGCTCATCTCATCAGTCTTTTGCTGTTCCTCCTTTCCTATAGCAAAGGCCCAGAGGTTCTGGAGCATGTGGCTCTCATCTGCTTCACAAATGACTGGGTGATAGCTTTCCTCTGACTTCAAAGAGAAGCTGTTTCCTTACTGAAAGGCTTCACATTGAAGTTCTCAGGAGAGGAAGACTCAGCCTCCCCCAGGTGACCCATTGCTCAGGTGCAGCAGAACCACGGTGACAGTTTGTATAGGGCTTGTCCTTCCAGCTTCCTGGGCTTCCTCTGACTCTGGTTAGAGGAGGTGCTCAAGGGGAGAGATCAAGGTCTCTGCTCCTTGCTTAACTCAGGCCAGGGCAGAAGATAGAATCATGATGCTCCAGACAGAGAGCCCTGGGAATGGCTGCCAGTTTCTAGCTCTGCATCCTTCCTATTCCTGCAGCCAGACCCCTCCCCTCCTCGCTGATACCGTGCTTAGGTATGGGACAGTCCTGCACCTGGGTAGGGTAAACCTAAGAAGCCTGTGCAACAGCAGACAGAGTGACTTGACTTCTTTGTTCTTGCTGTTCGAGCCTTGTGCCTTCATTTTGATAACTGGCTTCCACATGATGGTGAACAGGCTCAACCTGTTTCCTAGTTCCCCTGTCTTGATGATTTGCCTGATACCTATTTCTAAAAGGTAGGGACCTGCCTAGCTCTAAAGGACTTATGGCCAGCCAGAATTGAAGTGAACAGCTGCTCCAAGAACTGCCTGCCATATGACATGGTACAGGAAGGGGCTGGCGTTCACTGCTGGAGACAAGAGAAAGTGGTCAGCAGACAGGGAACAAGAGAAGAAAGGGGAGAGCAAAGAGAGGAGCCACATGGCACCAGGAACCTGTAGTTAGCTCTTCTGCCTCACGTGGTTTTGATGGCCTGAACACAACTTGATTGTACCCACCTGATTCATGAGGGAGACTCTCAGGACTTTGAGATAAAGCAGTGTCAGTGGGAAACAAACAGAAAGCTACACTAAGCATTCCTTTTCAGCTATTATTTTAAATATAGGGTGTGTACCTGCGAGGCAGCAAGAATACTCTTAATTACTCCCTTACAAAAAAGTCTAGTTCATTTCCACATCTTTGCTTCCTTTTTAACTTTGCCAAAATGCATACCCAAGCACGTTTTGGAGGAGCATGTCCTCAGTCTGGTCATAGTCTCTGTGACATCTTGGTCTATTGAATGGTGCCTCTAGAGTTGCGCTCACTGAGCCTCAGCAGCTGTATATTTGGTAGCTCCAAATTTGATTCCAGGATTATTCCATCTGTATAAGAATTTTTTCTTGATTGAGTCCGTTTTCTATGTCTACTCAGAAAACATACAATATATCCCCAACCAGTTACCACAATCTTCATTAAAATTTGAATTTACCATGATCCCTTCCCTTCCCATCACTAACTAATCCTCCTGGCAGGATTTGCCTCCTAACTCGCACCATCACCTGGGCTGGAGTGTGGTGGCATGATCTTGGCTCGATGCAGCCTCCACCTCCCAGGTTCAAGCGATTCTCCCACCTCAGCCTCCCGAGTAGCTGGGACTACAGGTGTGCACCACCATGCCCAGCTAATTTTTCGTATTTTCAGTAGAGACAGATTTTCACCATGTTGGCCAGGCTGGTCTTGAACTCCTGACCTCAAGTGATTCACCCATCTTGGCCTCCCAAAGTGCTGGGATTACAGGCAGGGACCACTGCGGCTGGCCTAGGACTTAATTTTTTAATCTCTGCTGCTAGTAATCCATTGAGATCTAGGTATGCAAACATAATAATGGTAATAATGGGCAGCTAGAATTTACCAAGAACTTCCTATGTGGCAGGCACTGAGCTAAGGGCTTTACAGGCATTATTTTATTCTCACAATCTCTCAGTGTTATCATCTCTAGACTTCCATTTCTACAAATATGACAGTGTGGATATCCTGAAAATCCTCTTATTACAAAACATCTAGAACTGATTTATCAAGAACAACAAGCAGACTGGTAAATGCAAATCTGAGCTGGTGAGAAAGAGAAGGAATTTCCTGTGAGCAAAAACAACAGGAAGAAAGCTAAAGGCAAAGGGTCAGCAAGCCCTAATGGCTTTGTCTGGCCTACCATGTTGACTGATCCCAACCAGGGAGTCTGGGTTTTAACAGCCACTCAGAAAAACAAGACTCAGCCTTGCACCAACTCCAATTAGAAAGCTGAAACTTAAATGCCAACATAAATATATCGGAGAAACAGCAAGGCTGAAAAAAAAGCACTGATCATTCATGTTGAAAAAATTGGATAAAGAAAAGCAAATGAAATCCAATGAAGGTTGAGTGAAAGAAGTTATAAAGAACAGAAATTGGCCAGGCACGGTGGCTCACGCCTGTAATCCCAGCACTTTGGGAGGCCGAGGCAGGCAGATCAACTGAGATCAAGAGTTCCAGACCAGTCTGGCCAATGTGGTGAAACCCTGCCTCTACTAAAAATACAAAAAAATTAACTGGGTGTAGTGGTGGACACCTGTAATCTCAGCTACTCGGGAGGCTGAAGCAGGAGAATCTCTTGAACCTGGGAGGCAGAGGTTGCAGTAAGCCGAGATCACACCATTACACTCCAGCCTGGTCGACAAGGGCAAAACTCCGTCTCAAAAAAAAAAACCAAAAAAGCAGAAATTAACAGAAAACAAAACACTTGCATCTAAAGTTAGAACCCTTGAAGAAGTACAACTTGAGTGGAAAGAGGGAACTAGAAAAAATTCCATCCACTGGCACAGGAAGACTGCAAAGAAACTTGCCCGTCTTGGCCTGGGTCCGGGCTGGAATTCAAAAGGTTCCTATGGAATTCATAAACACAGACCTCCCCTTGCCTAGGTTGGAACAAGCAAACAACTATTGAATAAAGGAACATGAAAGAAGTCCCTGGTTGGCAAGGTCCCTACAAAAACCTGGAAAAAGCAAAGACAAAGCTCCAGAGACCCTCCACATAGGCCGTGCCCACTCACCCTCCAAGGAAGATGGCCCCTCAAGCCTGTTGAATCCAATTTCTCCTCCAGACCTCCGGATCCAAGTCCATACCCATCCTTTTCAGCCTCACTTCTCAAAGTATGGCACTGGAACCAAGTGCATCAGCGTCACCTGGAAAATACGAATTTACTGACCCCCAGCTCAGACCCACTGAATCACGAACTCTGAGGGTGGAGCCCAGCAATCTGTGTTTTAACATGCTCCCCAGGTGATCATGATGCACACTCACATTTGATACACTTATACCCATTCTTCCTCCCGAGGAGTACCATGAGGACAAGCACATTCAATACATTTCAGTAATGTTGGAAACTACTGCTCTGGATTTTAATGATATCTTAGGCCTATCGAACCTTAAGAAATAAAAGTTTTAGAACACCAAGCAGGGTTTTTATTTTCAAAGCTTTGGAACTTATATGAGTCATTCTTTTTAGGTTTTATATAAAATAGTAAACCTTTAAACACATAGAATTTTAGCTAGAAAATGAAATTCTCTTACGTGATTATTTATAATCTACGCAATAATTAGCATTAGACTAAGATGCCAATTTTCTTCACATGAATAGAGAATCATTTACATAAATTATAATGCTAATAATCTATTTTCAGTCCAAAATTTGTGTGTGTGTGCTGCGTTTTCACTTGGGTAGAAAAAACCACTATGTCAAATAGAATAAGCATTTATTCTGTTGCTTTGAGTATGTGAATAGTTATTAAATTAGGATTATGTTGCTTGAGATACAAGTAAATCATCTAGTCACTTCTGATTCCTCACACTCTGATTGGTTAGTTCTTACTTACAGTTGTCCATAATACTTATTTCAACTTCATGTAGGTCTGAAATGCCCACAGATCTCATTAAAAATGAGAACTTTTATTTCATGGAGTCTATGACATCATGTTTTCTATTTCATACTGTCGTTTAATCAGAACATGTTGGTGGTGTTCCATAAATTTGCTTGTGTCATATTGTAGTGAAGATGAGGACTTGTTGCTTTAAGCAGGATCTTAGGATACTCTGGGATCCTCTGCATTGGTTCAGCTACTACAAACCGAGGTTTATTGGCTCGGTTCTGTGAACCTAGAACTTCGATGGATAACTTTTTTTTAAATGATCAGACCTTGGCACAATCTCTATGTCAGTAATTACAACAAAAGATACAATTCGAGTGATAAGAACATTTGTGTCTACTATGCAAAGCATGCCTGACCTAATTCCAAAGTTTCAGACTAATACAATCAGTGATCAGAATATCACCTGCTTTCATTCTTTTCACTTAAGCACGGGGCAGGGTGAGTGTCTATTGGCACGGGTGCAATCAATGTAGGAACACGGTAATTCTGAGAACTGCCACAGGTGGAGAAAGTATTTTTAGGCATGCTACCCGCTCTGCCCAAGCAATCTTTGCAGGTGACTCAGTTTCAACCTGAGTCTCCTCACTCCACATCTCCTCTTCTTTAACATCACTCCCTCAGATATGTCCTTTACTCTCCAGACCCATAGGCAGACCTACTTTTCTGGACAGAAGGTGTTTGGCCCAGGGAGTCTAAGCCAATTCTGGTTCCTGCCATGACAGAAAGATGAGCCATCAGAGAGAACAGCTCCACCTCTGCCACCAGATCACACACATCCCATATGCACCACCTTCACCCATATCAACATCTCCTTCATTTTCTTTTCCACAGCCATCAACATCAACATCCTCATCAATGTTTCAATGGGTCATGAACACCAGTGCAATTATTACCACGATCTCAAATGCCGTCACTCTTTCCTATTTGCTAAGAAATGATGTGGTCTGTAGGGAAAAGATATCAGCTCTAAAGCCAGGCTGAAATACTTTCAAATTATAGCTGTCTTTATCATTATTTGTGAGACTTGGGCAAATTCCTTACTTTGAACATTATTCTTTAGCTGCAAAATGGAAATAATACCTTCCACCCATGGTACTGGCAAAAACTAAATGAGATAAAATACATAAAGAAGCTAACACAGTCGTGGCTTCTAGCTGGTATTCAACAAATGTAAATTTTGTATATTGTGGATCTTCAGTAAATATAGAACAAGTGACTGAATGGATACCAAAGAGAACTAGATATTCTTAAGGAACACTTTATTTAGGCTAGAGGTTTTTAAACATTAAGTTGTTGTTGGCCAGGCGCAGTGGCTCACGCCTGTAATCCCAGCACTTTGGGAGGCCAAGGCAGGCGAATGACTTGAGGTCACGAGATCGAGACCAGCCTGGCCAACATGAAACCTCGTCTCTACTACAAATATAAAAATTAATCGGGCATGGTGGTGGGCGCCTGTAGTCCCGGCTACTTGGGAGGCTGCGGCAGGAGAATGGCGTGAATCCCGGAGGCGGAGCTTGCGGTGAGCCGAGACCACGCCCCTGCACTCCAGCCTGGGCAAGAAAGACTCCGTCTCAAAAAACCAAAAAAAACAAAAAAAAATTAAGTTGTTGTTAGTAGCCCAAACCTTCCTTTAAGTACAATTGTATGCAGAAGGTCAACACTGAAAAAAAGACAAACAGAGCTGCTTCCATTAAAGCAGGGGTAGTGGTTCTGTGGTCCTCTTAGATCCATTTGTCATTGCACATCAGCTCACCTTTGTCCTGGGACTCCCAAAAGCACAGTTTGAAAACCACAGACCCAGGATAAATTCTTAAAACTAAGTTTTACTGTAACCTTTATCTAAGTTCCACATATTTTTGGTTACTTCTAGGTTCTTTTTGTTAATCTAAGTGAAATATTTATCATTATATCTTCTAACTTGTATCGTTGATACACTGGAAACCTATCTTTATAGATGAGTAAATTATCTTAAAAATTTTTCCAAGTTTTTCAGTCTATTTTACTGGCATTTCCCAAGTACATAATCACACTGGATACAAATGATTTTTTTTTCTCCTCCTGGTCAGAATTTCAATGTCGTATTTATTTCATATTTTGGTGTATGCACGAGAACTTCCAAAATAATGTTACATAAAAGTTGTCATGGTACGCATCCTACTTAGTTCTTGATTTTAATTAGCTTTCTTCTAGGTTAGTCATTCCTATTTTGTTGCCAGAGTCCCAACCCCCTCAATTTCTGATTGAATGGGTCTGGAGTAGGTCTCAAACATCAGTAATTTTAAAAAGCTCCCCAGGTGATGCTTATGTTCAGAGATTGAGACCCTCCCCTCGGTTCCAGGTAATTTAGCATGGATATGATGTTGGCTGCTTACTTAATATTGATAATCTTTATTATGTTTAGGAAAAATTTGGTGTTCTTGGTTGTCTAAGGTTTGTTATTTGCTTTAGAAATAGTGTTACAGGTCTGTTGAGATGATTGCATTATATATTTACATATTTTTTTCTTACTGGATATATTAAAGTGACAAATAAAACATCCTTGTATTCCTCAGTTAAGCTCAATTTGGCCATGGCCATAGTAATTCCTTTATTGCATTATTCAGTTCAGTTTGCATTTATATTTGTAATTTGTAATGATGTATTTTTATGTAGTCTCTGTAATAATAACAATAATACTAGCATTATGTTTAAGGATTAAATGTTTGCTATGTTCCGGATACTGTTCTAAGTTCTTCAAATAATTATTTTATTTATTTCTTAGTCTTTCATCTATGGAAACTGAAGCAGAAAAGGATTAAATATCTTGCCCTTGGTCATACTGCCAGAATTTGAACTCAGGTAGTTGGGTGCTAGAGGACGTGCTTTAGGGCACTATTTCATGCCATCTGTCCATGCCATCACATGTCACCTGGGTGACACCGAATAACAAGTTCTTTAGCCTCTCACTTCTTCAGTTTGCTCATCTGTAAAATGAAGATAATAGTTATCCCTGTCTCCTAGGGTTTTAGGAGTAATGTGTAAATTAATATTTGTGAACTCTCAGAACCTTGCCTGGCACCAAGTAAGAACAAAATCAAGTGTTTGTGAAATAGAACCAAACCAGGCAATCTGGCACCTGGTCTTACACATGGCCTCTTTCAGATCGGGGTTATACTAGTCTTAAAAAAATGACTTGAATAGCTGACCCCAGAATCTTTGTTGGAGGAAATTCCTTGATAAAATAAATTTCTTCCATTTTTTTTGTAAATTAGTGTTCTACTTTTCCATAATAAATTTGTTATGTACATTTTATCAAAAAGCATTTATGTTCTAGTTTATTGGCATATATTTTTAAATAAAGAAAGCTTTATACTGTAATCACCTTTTACTTCTTCAGTTTTAGTTTTATTTGAATTTTCTCTGTTTATTTTTTTTTAAAAAAACCCTAGTTTTGATTTTATTAATTTTGTTTTGGATTTTCCCCCCAACAAACCAGCCCTTGTATTTATCTCTTAATGCTATTAGCTTTACAAATAATGTCTGATTTATATATCTATCTTGTCGAGTAGAATGCTTCATTTACTAGTTTTAATTCAATCATTTAAAGTAATAGAAAGCATCAAACACCATAGAATTGCCTACGTACACTTTTGGTCACATGCAACCATTTTTGATCTGCACTGTTACTCATCAACGCGCTTGTGGAGTGTTACTCCAATCACCTCATTCAAAGTCAGTCATTTTCTCAGTCACAATTATTCCCTCCCCACTTGTTCTCTAGCCTCTCTCTTCTGGGGCCGCTCTTCTAAAACAACTATTTTCTTGACTCAGTTTATCTCCTCCCAACATTTGGTGATTATACGTAATTGCAACGAGGGAGGTGAGGTGAGACAATTTTCATTCATTTTTCTGATCCAGTTGTGGGATACACACTCACAAAGCCACAATTAATAGTTCTTCCCTACACAAACAAGGAGTAATTAGAAAACATAATAAAAGAATTGGTGCCATTTACCATAACAGAAGAGGAAAAGGAAGAGGAAGAGGAGGAGGAAAAAGGGAAGAAGGGAAGGAAGAAAAGGAGAGGATGGGAAGGAAAGAGAGAGGGAGGACAACAGGAATAAACAAGAAATGTGCAGTAACTACACAAAGGAGACTTTCAGAAAACTTTCCGAGAGACATTTTAAAACAAAAGCAGCTTGAATACAAATGAAGAGCATTTTTAATTTAAATGGGAAAAGCTAATATGGTAAGACTGTCAATTCTTTCTAAATGAATATGTAAATTTGTTGCAACCCCAATAAAATATTAATTGATTTTCAAAAAATAAGAGCAGCTGGTTCTAAGACTTTTGTATAAATACCAAAATTCAAGCTTAGCCAGAAAAAAAAATTTCTACAAAGGAAGCATAATGAATTAGGCAAGCCCTACTAGATAATGAAACATATTATAAAGCATGTGTGATTACGCTAGATGAATGAATTGATAGAGAATCCAGAACTAGACCCAAACACATATGCAAATTCCGTTATGACAAAGGTGACATTTAGAAGCAAATGCATTCTTCAAATGATAGTGATTCTATTCATAAAGTTATAATACTTTTTTCTTACCAATGTTTTAATTATTATATTATACATTTATTATAATTACATTTGTTATAAATATTATGCACTTTTTAATATAAATGAATCTGTAAAGTCCCAGGAAAAAAATTAAGGAATTATTTTATATTCTGGATTGGGGAAAAGCCCTTTTGATATTTACTAAGCACTTGTTGCCAAGCAATTTTTAAGCACTTTACATATATTTATTTATTTAATTCCCACACAATGTTATAATCCCCACTTTACAGATGAGAAACCAAAGCACAAAAAGGCGAAGTGAACTTGGCGCTTGGCCTGATAGTTCAAAAGCGGCAGAGTGGAAGTACAAAGTCACATGGTTTTACTCTAGAGCTTGTGTTCTCATAAACTACCTGGAAAAAAGACAAAGATGAAAGCCAGTGGCAGGTCCTGGTGCAGTTTGCTGGGCTCCATCCCTCCTTGGCTGTGAAGCATGGGCAGTCCCTGACTGTCAGGTCCACAGACGGGTCATTGTTAGCACAGGTATGAAATGTTGTGGCATTATTCTTTATTCTGTGAATGAATAGCAAGGTGGCCCTGCTGGCAGAAGAAGAAATTGTGTACTACCTGGAAGTGAGAACCAGGTGATATGATGTGTGAAAGGCAGTTTTGCAAACTGATTAAGTAATTATGCTAGACCTGGCAAGACCTTACTCTAGAAATACAAAATATCATCGCAAACAACTCATGTGTTTTCCACAAAGAAGAGAAAGCTGAAGAGGGAAGCTCGCCAAACATCTGCATTCCTGATGGCCAGGGTGTACTGGCATACTTGTTTAAAATGTACCTATTGTACAGATCAGTAAGCTACAACTTCTGCAGGATTTATGTGTCAGACAGCTCATTTTTGTCAACCCTCCAACCAAGCTTTCTGAAGAATTACTTCAACTCGTTCTTCACTGCCTACTCCAAATTAAATTCCAAATGGAAAAATATTTTGATATAAACCAATCTATAAACTTCTAGAGAAAAACATGGGGGAATTATTTTATAATCCAGGGTGAGAAAGACCTTTCTCATTAAGCTCAGATGTTATAATGAAAAAGAAGGATCAGTTTTACTCTGTTAAAATTTATGTATGGAAAAAATAAAGTCAAAAGACAAATAAAAACATGGGAAAATATTTGCCCCACCCATAGCATGCAAAAGGCTAATTTTCAGTATACATTCAAGAGGTCTTTTTTAAAAAACTCATGAACAGAGGACACAAATAGAAAATTCACCAGAAAAGAAATATAAATGGCATAAAAAATATAAAAAGATGTTCAACCTCAAAATTTTAGATGGTAATTTAAAATAAAATGAAACATCGCTATTCGATTACTGGACAAAAACCTTTGCTAATGCACAGTATTGATGAAAGCAGAGAAAGAGACACTTCCGGACAGTGAATAGACTAATTGGTACATCTTCTTTGGAGGACAATTAAATATTATTCTAGTAATAATAATAGTAATAGCTTACTTTTTTTGAGTATCAGCTATGTCAGATAGACATTCTATGTGTTTCAGATATTCTAACTCATTTACTCCTCATAACAACCAAATGAGGTAGTTTCTATCATTATCACTATGAGAAGACTGAGGCACAAAATGATTAAGAAACTTGTTCAAGATCACATATCCAGTAAATGGAGAAGCTGAGATTCAAACCCAGAAAGTCTGGAAAATTCAACTTAAAACTCCACACCACCACACACATATGCACACATGCTAACTATGGGTTGTAATGGATGTGTTAATTAATTTGACTGTAGTAATCATAGTAATCAGTATCCAGTGTACATATATGTGTATCACATCAGCATGTCATACACCTTGAATATATATGCTTTTTATTTGTCAACTAGATATTTTTAAATTAAAAATAAATAAACCAAGCTCGACAACATCCATAAAAATTCAAAAATTTTATATCCATTATATTCATTAGGATTAGATTTAGGTACTTGACATAGAAAAGAAAAGAACTGTTGCTTAAATGAGGTAAAAGTTAATTTCTCTCCCAAATAAAATCTGGAGGTATATAGCTTAGAACTGGCAGGGCAGCTCTTACCCCATGAAGTCCTCAGGAGCCTGGCTCCTTCCAGCTCTCCACTCACCATCAAAAGGGTGTGGCCCTAGGCAGCATGTGAATTACAAGAAGGAATAAAGAATAGAGGACAGAAGGCACTTGTCATCTGTCTCTCGGAGAAGTTTTTCAGAAGCTGTCACGCGACATTTCCCCTTCCACTGCTCTGGCTGCAAAGGAGGCTGGGAAATGTAGTCTTAATTCTGGGCAGCCATTTGCACAGCTTTGCATTGTATTACCAGGGAAGAAAAGGGGAGGGGAGATTGAGGGACATGTGGCCAGCTCTGTCCTTCCTGCTGACACCACAATTCAACTTCTAGGAAAATTTCTACCAGATTAATGACACATTTGTATAACAACATATTACACTGATTATTCCCCATTTATCCTTCCTCTCCCTGACTACCCTGTACCCCGCAGACTGACCTTCATGGACTGCATTACCTGGGCTTCCCTGATGTCTGACTTCCACTTCTATTCGGCAGCTGGGAAGAACCAACAGAAAACCAGAGAGCAAGAGGAGACAGCAGTCAGGGTATTTATTCCTCTTGCTCCTACTCTGATGGCTGCAGTTTAGGTACTGGCTGCATTCCTCACCATGTGGCTGTAGCTCTGTTTGGTTGGCCTCTCTCCCACAAAGCCGTGGTCTCACTGGCTTCTAGTAACACTGCTCCCTCCCCTTGTCCCTTCATGCCTGGGGTGGTGAAGGCTTATCACTGTTGGGAGTTCCTGAGTGTTTAGCCATTTTATTGCTGGTTCCATTCATCCTGCCAGCACCTGTGTAAATAGTAGCTACATGACTAAACTCTTCAGGTAAGCTTGGGATGTGCCATCTGCTTCTGCTGTACCCTGATTCATACACATACGTGCAAGGACTTTCATTACAGCAGTGCTTGAAATAGTAATAGCCAAAACAAATTAAATATTTATCAATAGGGAACTGATTAAATATCATGCAGTTATAGTAGGAATATAATGTAGCACTTTAACAAATAATGTCGCACTATCATGTACACTTAAAAATTTGCTAAGAAGGTAGACCTCAAGTTATGTGTTCCTATTGCACTAAAATAATAATAATGTCTTTATGAGCTAAAATAGAGAGCTCTTGATGATAGGATGCTACCAACTATACTTTAAAATATAGATATAGATATACAGTTAGATTTGGATTTAGATAGATTCGCATGGTGTGTTATAAATGTATATATAATATGCATTTCTATACGTAAATGTTTTAAGGAAAAGACTAGAAACTGAGACTAGTGGTCACCTCTGGGAAAGAATAATGGAGAATAGGGTAGGACAGAGCTTTACTTTCACTGAATATCCTTTTATACTATATGAATTTTTACTACATATAATTACCTTAAAAAACTATTTAGAGAAAAAAATATTATTTTCCTTAGGATACATATAATGGGGAAGCATATGAATAAGATAGTAGCATTCCTTTGAGATTCCATTACTATAAATGGGATTCCAATTTTCTCTCCCCACCACTGTCTGCCCTCCCATGCCCCCTCCTCCCAAATGGGGGCACACCAAGGGCCCTCCCTTCTAATGAAGGGCAGTACCTCGTCCCCTGGATCTACTGTGGTCCTTACTGTGCTCTCCCTATGCATTGGTGTCAATTAATGGAGTACATGTTCTGTTCCAAAGCTGTAGGAAGTGCTGGAAATCAGGAAAATGAATGATCCCTGTCCTCAGAGAGATTATTTCCTATGCAGGGACATAAAAGTGTAAGAGGTGTCAATAGGAGTGAATATAGAAGTTCGAGATATGGCACAGAGAGGGTGTGGTCGATTGTAATCAGGGACTAAAACGAAGAACTAGAAGGATTTCCTGAGAGGTGAGAGAGGAATGTGGTGGCAATGGTAATAAAAGGAGAATGGGGTTGCCCTCTGAAGACAAGCAAAATAGAAGGGCATTTGAAGCAGCAGAAACCATGTAACTTAAAGCAGGACACTTCAGATAATTTAAGACTACTGATGGGAGATTAAAACGGGGAGCCAATCAGTTGAAGGTCATTGGTGTCATCATCATCCTGGAGAGAATCAAAAGGGAAGGGTAGAAGAATGGGTTAAGATTGTCTATTACAGTCATTATTGAGGAAAGAAAAATAAAGACTAGCTAAATGTTGGATTACTACTTTAGACTGCATTAAAATGTGACCATATTAAGATGTCACATCAAAATGTTCTTGTGCCTTTTGAGGGGAAGACACATGGGCATGAAATAATAAGGCACACTGGGGAAATTGCTGATAGTTCCTGAGGCATGACAAATAGCCAGGGAATAATAAGGCTGCAGAGGTAGGGGCAGTGCCTATATGACAACAGTCGTTTCTATCATCCTGGAACAGCCAGTATTTGGCTGGGCAGTGATGTAATCAGTTGTGCATGTTAGAAAGGTCACTAGGAGTATAGAGGTGAGGCCAATTAGGAGATCATGGCACTAATCCTGAGTAAAGGTGGAGAAAGGACAGGCACACAAGAAATATTGATGCGGTAGTATCAGCAGAAGTTAGTTATTAGTTGAAGGACAGAGGTGAGGAAACAGGAGGAATTGAAGAAATCTGTATTTCTAGTGACCAAATTGGTAGGGGTGCCATATACTTGGATAAAGAATAAAGGACGAAAAAGCCTGGGGGGAATGTGTGGAGCTTGAGGTTACTTGTGACTTCCAACTTTATGATTTCACTTATAATCTCTTCCTATACTCAATCTCTCTTTTCTCTGCTCTTCAATCCTCAACTCTCCCATCTCCTTTTTACCACAATTTTGCCTAATTAATGCCTACTCCCTCTTTAAGAATTAGTTCAAGCAACCTTCCATCCAGAAAGTCCCTCATAACACTTTATCTTCTTCCAATGAAGGCTGCTGTTAGGTGGCTTTTCTTTCCTACAATCTTGTAATGTTCTGTGTTTATTTCTATCATTACACCTTAATGCACATCAAATTATTTTTCCTTTACAGATCAGTTTCCCCTACATGATGTTAAGCTCCTTATGGGTAGGATCTACATCTTCCTCTCTAGTTTCCCCAGCATATAGCACAGTGTTTATTAGGATGTGATAGGCACTCAGTGATTGTTGAATGAATGAATACGTTTTGAGTGGGAGAAGAAATACTTATTTTTCTTAGCCTTGAGTGGGAGCATTGGAGGGTGTTGAAAGTTGTCATTGTTAGGGGCTAAGTGAGAGTTGGAAGGTGTCTGCAGTCTAAGTCTTATCTAGGAAGTAAGAGTCATTCCTCAAGATAAAGGTAGGTTGAGCAGAGTGATGGGCATTTGGAATTGCTGCTGTGGGGAGTGAAAAGGGGAGGAGCCCAAAAGGTCTAGTTGACATTGGCAATAATAAAATTATAATGGCAGTGACCCCAGTGACTGTATGATTCCTCTAGCAGTTCAGTGGGCTGAGTGTGAATGAGGAGGGGGTTGATGATGGAACTCGTCAAGGTCCACAAGGCAGATTCAGCAGAGGACAAAGAAGCTCTGACACAGGGTGACATATGGGTACAGATTGGGTTAGGAAGAGAGGTGGAGCCACAAGAGACAAGACTGAGAGAAATGAGAGGGAGGAAGTGAAAGACTATAAGTCTACATCATGCTGAAGAAGAGAAATTGTGGAGTAAGGTAGCGGTCGGGGTGGCTCCTTTGAGAAACTAGGGTGTTTACTTTGAGATTCCTGAGTTGGATCTCTTTTTTGGGGTGATGTCTGAGCTCAGATTGTAGTGCAGCCATGGAAGTAGGTTGCTAAAGGGACCTGGAAGTTAAGGTTGTAGGAATCAGAAAAGTTAGAGAACTTTAAAGCTGCATATTGAACCTATTGTATCAGGATTCTGAAGTTACCCACAACAAAGGCAGGAACGGAGTGAGAGGAAGAGTAGGAATGGGGTTCCAGAGAGTCCAGTGAACAATGAGTGTACTCAGGGATTGAGTAGACGCAGTGAGGCAGATGGAGGCAGGAATCTCAAGGGAAAATGGAAAGGCATTTTGCATGAGAATTGGAAGATAATGGTCTGGGGTGGTGATGGGGAGTCTGTAGAATACCAACTGGCCTCTCCCTAACTCTGAAGTTTTCTTCATACTGGAGCACCCTCTCCAACCAGGCAGTCTTTATCTTTGCTCTTTCTTCTGATGCCTTGATTTGGCTTTCCAGGATGACTCTTGATTTGAGTCCCTAGCCTTGTGCTCTAATTTTTTGTGTTTCTGTGGGTATTACTCCACTCTCAGAATGCTATGATGCCTTTTCTCATTACAACAAATCTGTCCTGTTTTTAATTTCCTTAATGAAAACCTAATAATTAAATCTGCTGTGAATAAACTAGATTTCCCACTAGATAATTGCCTTGGTCCATTTTTCTTGCTATAAAGGAATACCTGAGACTGGGTAATTTATAAAGAAAAGAGGCTTATTTGGCTCATGGATCTGCAGGCTTACAAGAAGCATGGCCAATATCTGCATCTGGCAAGGGCCTCAGACTGCTTCCACTCATGGCGGAAGGTTAAAAAAAGGTGACAGCAGGACTGTGCGCAGAGATCGCATGGCAAGAGAGCAGAAGCAAGAGAGAGAGGGTAGAAAGGTGCCAGGCTCTTTACAACAACCAGTTCTTACGGGAACTAAGAACAGGAACAAACTCACTCCTGCACCTAGCCATTCTTGAGGGATCCACCCCCATGATCCAAACACCTCCCACCAGGCCCCATCTTCAACACTGGGGATCAAATTTCAATGTGAGACTTGGCAGGGCCAAACAACCAAGCCAAATATTCACGCCGTAGCAATGATAATGAACTAACATGCTACTATGCTCAAGAAATATATTTGCATTTGAAAGATCCTCCCAGATAAATGATGGCATAATCCAATCTACCCTACAAAGTCAATAAATAAGGAAGCCTTAGTGGTGTACCTCAAAGCACATAGTCATGTGTTCTCTAGAGCTGCTTCTTTTATGAGTTTAAATCCCTCATGAGCAGTTATTTCAAAGGTAAATTGTTTTAAGTTAAGAGTGAAAGATAAACAGAAATACAGATAATTTTGAATTGTTGGGAAGAAAGAGTAGAATAAGTGTGCTAAACTGACAGTCATTCATGCAAGAGAGCCTATATTCCCAGGGTTTCAGTTGAAGTAATTTGTGCGTTATACCATTAAAAATATCTGTGCTCTGGCTGGGCATGGTGGTTCATGTCTGTAATCCCAGCACTTTGAGAGGCTGAGGCAGGAGGATCACTTAAGCCCAGAAGTTCAAGACCAGACTGGGCAACAAAGTGAGATACCCATGTCTACAAAAAATTAGTTGAGTGTGGCCATGCACGCCTGTGGTCCCAGCTACATGGGAGGCTGAGGCAGGAGGATAACTTGAATCCAGGAGGTTGAGGCTGCAGTGAGCCATGTTTGCACCACTGCCCTCCAGCCTGGGCAACAGAGCAAGGCCCTGTCTTAAAAAAATAAAATGAAAATCTTTGTTCTTGTCTTCCTCTTTATGCTCTGACTGTACCTGGCTACCATGAAAGCTGCCTGACATCTGCTAAAACAACCCCATCAACAACATATGATAATTGAGTACCCCTAAAATACTGTAGTAGGTGTGTGGATGTAGGATATCACATATAAAATATGGTCCCTGTCCTTAAGAAACTTAAAACTTAAGAGA